ATGTGTTTACTGCAGACAAGCTGTCTTCCATGGGCAGCACTGGCAGGCCTGAAGATCCACTGAGGTACAGGAGGCTGTGGATAGATTGTTCGGACGCATTTAAATTCATAATGGGGCTTCTCTACAGTGATTGAAACTGGTATCACAAAATAAATTAAAAGAAAACTCCTACATATAATACCTTCTTAATTTTTTTTCTTTTTTTCTCATTTTTTAAGGGAAAAAACTATGGGACAGAGGCTTGAGAAAGTCGTAGGGCTGAAGCTACTGACAAGCAGAAAAGCACTGTGCACTGGCTTTCTCGCCTTTAATCTCCAGTCACAACTAGCAATCGTCATATTTGAGCTTTGTTCTTACTCATAATTCAAACATTTCCATCCCAGAAGCAACTCGTGTGCTGTCATCACTCTGGTGAGAAGTGCTAAGAACTAAACAAAACAAGACCCCCGGGCCCCGAGGACTTGGATTCCTGGCCAAGGAAAAGCGAGCCAGCGCCAGGGCTCTGGTCCCCTGGGAGTGAACACAGGGCTCCCCGGCCACTGCAGCAGTGCTCGCCCCGACCAGGGCCCTCGGGCCGGCAGACCTGGCGGCGGGGGGGGGGGGGGGGGGCCTTGCTGCCGCCCTGAGGAGGCTGCCCCTGCGGCCCCCTCCCTGCCAGCACCAGGAGGTGCCGCCTGGGGATTTTCAGGTTCTTAAAGACAGGTAGGTTGGTCTGGAGGGTGGTGGTGGGAGCCACAGAGGGGCCCACTGGACCCCGCTCTGCTGCACCCTGGGACTCAGCAGCTGTTTCTCATGGGATGGAAGGATTAAATATCCATTAAAAAAAATAGTAATCCAAATGCCTAGTTTCTGCAGTTAAAACTGCTGTTGTACCCAAGAATTAAAAAAATAGATATATGTGTGTCACAACCAAAAGGTGAGGGAAAGAGAAGGTGAGACTTTCCAACGAGGGTGACTATACACACTGAACAAGGATGTGCGAAATATTTAACCTTTTTTTTTCTGACCTGAGTTTGTATCATGTCTTGCACTGTACCAGACTCCAGCGCTGTGTGAGAGCAGGCTGAGGAGTGGGGTGCCGGCATGCCAGGGCCTGCCCCCCGGGGGTGCCCACCTGCTGCCCTCGCCAGCCTCGTGCCCACAGAGCCTCTGGGTTAGAACGTAACTAACGGGCAGGGGGAGTGGGGAAGGGAGGGTGTATTTATAAAAAGGCATCAAACAGTTCATGGCAAATTATGTTATAGAAGTATCGGTTGCTGGGAAGAGAGGAAGAAAGTCACGCACGCTAGTACAAAGCATAAGAAGTTTCTTGGAGTGAGCAGAAAGGGAAGAAGGGTAGACCTGAAGGTTTTCATAGATTAAATCCACAAAGATAAAGGACAAAAAAAATAGCAGCTTTTTTTTTTCTGTACAGACGTATAGGTGAATATCTGAACCGTAAAAAAGTTATAAAAGTGACATTAAAGACGATGTGTATGCAAACGTTTCATGGTCTAACATAGAACTGTAAGACCCATGAAGAAGTCCTAGTAACAGAGAAAATGCCAACAAAGCTTGAATCCATTTACTGCTTTTCTCCTTACTGTTGTGGTGGTGTTTGAATTTCTTTCCTTGCAAACCTGCATAAACAGTTGGGCTGAGTCCCTGGAAACCCCTTCCCATCTGTGTCCTGGGGGGCCGGGAGCGGGGCGTGGGGGGAAGTGGGGGAACAGGAGACTGGCACATGGACGACCTTTCCTCAAAGCCTGTCTGCCGGGCTCTCGACGGGGCCTGTTTTCTCCAGAATTCCTGGGGGCTAGCAGGTGGGGCTGGGGAAGAGCGGATTCAGCCTCTCCCAGTCTCCACTGAGAGAAAAGTCCCATTCTGTCCACTTCCCTCAAATAATAACCTACTCAAAAGCAACTAGACCTGTGTGAACGTAAGGCTGGAAAAGAACACCCGGGGCGATCCGATGGAGTGCATCCTCAGCGTGGCTCTTAAATGGCGGGCCTAGATACCAGCTCGCCCCATGCCTCTGGAAACAAGGAAAAAAGTGCCGGGATCAGGAGGGAGGAAGCTGAGGGTTTTGGCAGAATTTGGCAGCATTAAAATGGTAACAACCTTGAATGAGTGATGGCCCTTTTACAATTTCGTATGTCCCTAAAAAGGTGAAAGATAGTTTAAAAAAATTCCGTCTCAACGTGGTTTTTGTTTTTGTTGTTTTTATAAAGACCTACAGTGACAGGCAGGTGTTTATGGGGGCAATGTGGGGCCACAGGGAGGGCCAGCCAGTTCCTCACTCTGATCAAAAGGGCGTCCCAGCTGGGCTTGGGCAAAGGTTTTTCCGTTAGGAAGCAGAAAGAAAAAGAAAGGTGAGAGAGAGAAGAGGGAGGGAGGGAGACAGGTCTGAGAGAAGTGACGGGGAAAGCGTAAGGAGACTCGATTCTCTCGAGTGTTCTGTTGCTATTAAGTGTTGTCATTAAGGTTCTTAAAGGCCCGTGTCAGTTAAGGGTTTGGGTAGGGAAATAAAAAGCTGCTTGCATATTGGAAAAAGGAACACCCCAAATGTGTTTACTGCAGACAAGCTGTCTTCCATGGGCAGCACTGGCAGGCCTGAAGATCCACTGAGGTACAGGAGGCTGTGGATAGATTGTTCGGAC